GGTTACTCAGATAACAACAACAACAACATCGATAACATCAACAACAACAACAACAGCAGCAACAACAACGACGACGACATAAACAACAACAACAATTACAATCGCAACCATAGCAACAATCACAGCAATGACAATGACGTCAGCAAGCCAACCGGAAACTCGTCACCGAAAAGTCAACGCCATCGACATCATCATCATCATCATCACTCCAATAACAACAATAATAATAACAATAATAATAATAAGAATAATAATAATAATAATAATAATGACCCTACTAGCGAAACTGGTTAGTTTTGTTGTTATTTCTATTATTTTACATACCATACTTTATAGAAGTCGTAGTAGTAGTAGTAGTAGTAGTAGTAGTAGTAGTAGTAGTAGTAGTAGTAGTAGTAGTAGTAGTAGTAGTAGTAGTAGTAGTAGTAGTAGTAGTAGTAGTAGTAGTAGTAGTTGTATAGGTAGTAGTGGTAGTTGCAATTGTGGTGGTTGGGTTGTTGTAGTAGTAGTAGCGTTCATTATCATCATAAGCAATAAAATCATCATTTTCGTCGTCATCGCCAGATCATCATTATCATCATCGTCATCAGATCATCATCATCGAAGACATCAACATCAACATCACATCAACATCATCATATCGTCATCATCATCATCATCATCAACAATAGTAGTAGTAGTAGTAGTAGTGGTAGTAGTAGTAGTAGTAGTAGTAGTAGTAGTAGTAGTAGTAGTAGTATCATCAACAACAACATCATCGTCATCGTCGTCGTCATCCGAAATAACGAAGTTAATAAAATAATTAAGGGTCCTATAATTAATATTGTTTACTAATGACTGCATGGGCGAATTCTTTTATTTTCTTGAAATATAAGCACGCTAACAATATGCAAATAATACGATGACGATGATGACGACGACGATGCTGATGACGATGATAATGATGATTATGATGGCGATGATAATGATGATTATGATGGCGATGACGATGATGATTATGATGGCGATGATAATGATGATTATGATGGCGATGACGATGATGATTATGATGGCGATGATAATGATGATTATGATGGCGATGATAATGATGATTATGATGGCGATGATAATGATGATTATGATGGCGATGATAATGATGATTATGATGGCGATGATAATGATGATTATGATGGCGATGATAATGATGATTATGATGACGATGATAATGATGATTATGATGGCGATGATAATGATGATTATGATGGCGATGACGATGATGATTATGATGGCGATGATAATGATGATTATGATGGCGATGATAATGATGATTATGATGGCGATGATAATGATGATTATGATGGCGATGATAATGATGATTATGATGGCGATGATAATGATGATTATGATGGCGATGATAATGATGATTATGATGGCGATGACGATGATGAATGATGATGATGAAGATGAATGATGATAACGACAATGATTAAACC